TTGGGGAAGGGGTGGAATGGGGGCGGGGAGGGAGTGGAGTGGGGCAGGCTGGAGCTGGGTCACTCACTGCTGCCAGCACCAGACTCCCTGCTAACCTCCCAGGCCACTCTGGACCCCACGTCCCCCTGAAGTGCAGGGCCCCCCCAAAGTGCAGGGCCCAGGGCGGTTGCCCCGGTCTGTCCTATGCACATTCTGGGAAGCACCAGACTCCCTGCTAACCCCCCAGGCCGCCCTGGACCCTGTGTCCCCCTGAAGTGCAGGGCCCCCCAAAGCACAATAACCCCAAACATTAGTGGAGCCAGGCCCACGTTGCTAAATATTGATGGCGCACGGGCACCATGGGCCCATATAACTCACCGCCTGTGCTCACTAGGTCTGTCACTCACTTCCCCTTGGACCTTGTGTATCCAATCTTGACTGACAGCTCAACACCTCCTCCTTTTTTCCCATACCTGTCCTTTCAGAACAAGCTATAGCCCTCAACGCTGGTCCTCCAATCGTGGGTGTTGTCCCACCAAGTCTCTGTGATGCCAATTAAATCATCATTTTCTTCATCTATCATGACTTCCAGTTCATCCTGCTTGTTCTCCATACTCCTTACATTTGTAGAGGCATCGAAGATATTTTGCTTTTCCTCTTGCCTTTTTAATGCAAGTTGTGATTTCTAGTCCCATCTTCAAAAATTACCCCTTCCCTTTGTCTTTGTTACTTGAGCTTAGATGCGCATTAGCCGGATTTTTGTCACCATCCCTAAGTTAAAGCTGTGCTTACCAGGTTAGCCAGACAATGACCAAAGATGGTTTTCCCAGTACTGGATAGATGGAGCCTATCCCAACACAGTAATCTACTTTCCTGGAACATCAGCTCGTTGTCGAAAAAAGCCAAAACTCTCTTGCCAACACCACCTGCCAGGGCTGGCTCCAGGCACCAGCCAACCAAGCACGTGCTTGGGGCGGCACCTTGTAAGGGGCGGCCAATCTTGGGGTGGCGAGGCAGCGCTCGGGTTTTTGTTTGTTTGTTTGTTTTGTTTTGTTTTGTTTTGGCAGGGCAGTGCTCAGGGGTATTTTTTTTTTTGGTTCGGCGGGGCGGCACTCGGGTTTTTTTGTTGTTGTTTTGGTTTGGCGGGGCGGCGCTGTGGGGGGTTGTTACGGGCTTTTTATTTATTTTTTTTGCTTGGGGTGGCAAAAAAGTTAGAGCCGGCCCTGCCACTTGCGTAGCTATGCATTTACTTCCACGATTCAACAGTCCCTGCCCAGGCTTCTTCCTTCAACAGGGAAGCTGGAAGAAAACCCCCCTTGCACCCAAACTCTTTTATCCTTCTTCCCAGAGCCACGTAGTCTGCAGTGATCCGCTCAAGGTCATGCTTGGCAG